ATTCTATCATCATCCTCAGCATCATCATCATTTTCGTCGTTCCTCATTGTCATATACGATCAATATATCTTTCCTGAATCGTAGTAGGAGTAGTCCGTTACTAAGTCATTTTTAATGGGTCGACGACGACGACGTCTAATCATGTCTAGCATGGTGGGACTGTCATACATGGTATTCATGCCATTGCCAAGGGGATAGTATCATCATGTGGAGGAAGCCAGCACATGAAGTTAAGCAGTCCCATAGTAGTAGTAGAGAAGTCGATATAGCAGGGAGGGTATATCAGGGTATGATCATGAATAATAACAACAGACTGGGATAATGAGTAGAGGAGGAAGATGAGCATATCCTGTGGCTGTCCCTTGCTCATGTTCATGGACCCTGCTCATGTTCATGGACCCTGCTCATGTTCATGGACCCTGCTCATGTTCATAGACCCTGCTCATGTTCATGGACCCTGCTCATGTTCATGGACCCTGCTCATGTTCATGGACCCTGCTCATGTTCATGGACCCTGCTCATGTTCATGGACCCTGCTCATGTTCATAGACCCTGCTCATGTTCATGGACCCTGCTCATGTTCATGGACCCTGCTCATGTTCATGGACCCTGCTCATGTTCATGGACCCTGCTCATGTTCATGGACCCTGCTCATGTTCATAGACCCTGCTCATGTTCATGGACCCTGCTCATGTTCAGACTTAGTTTGTTTTCTTCTTCTTCATCTTCATCATCACGTGTTTTATGTTCCAATGACTTCATCTTCTACAAGTGAGATATCAATGCCTAAAGTAATGCCCACTGCATCGGAGTTGGCAGGTAAGACTACATTACTCCTACTTCTGTTGTTGTTGTTGCTGAGTGTATTATGATAATCTTAGAGAGGATCATGCTTCCTGGTGCTGGAGGTAGAAGGACGGGTGCAGCCTATGAGGAACTACGCCGTTTACCTACATCACTACTACGGGAGACATTAGAAATATTAGGTATTCCAGTAACAAAGAGCGCTAATGAATTGTTAATGGTGGAAGAAGACCTTTAATATTTGATCCTCTTTTAGTTCACTATAACTATGTTAGTGATAATGTCCTTATACAGTGTATGGGTCAGGATCTATTCTCACTCAATTTAACTGGAGCATACAATCTTAGAAAGTAATACCTTATGTATTAGTAGGTATCATTATTATTATCAGGTCTCTATTAGCCTATATCCCACGTGAATGTCCCAACTTGAGGATACTCAATTTATCCTATTGCAGACAGGTGACTCCATTATCAGCTTTATACTAATTCTATCACTCTTTGCTGCTGCTGCTGCTGCTCCACAGGTTAACAATCGTCTAGTATCAGCTATACTAGTATCATGCCGTTATTTACAGACCCTTATCTTAGAAGGTTGTGTAAGGATTAGTGATTCGGCATTTGTTGCGGAAGGAGGGCAGCCACAACTCGGTACTACTATTGGAATTATGCTGTTGTTGTTCATGATGATGCTTTCCAATACATTAGGTTTGGCTAGACTTCAACAGTTGTCTGTAGGGGGCTGTGGACAATTATCAGCCTTTGCTCTACAAAGGGTTACTGATGTTGCTAAGAAGACTCTAGTGAAATTGGATGTTAGTCAGACAGGTGCCAAATCACCATGCTTTGATAAGTTGGTAGGAGTTAGCAGCGTACTTGATTATAAACTCATTATTATAATTAGATTACTCGTTGCCTTGGTCGTGGGCTCACATACTTAGATTGTTCTGGTACTGCAGTAACTGACCAAGCCTTGACAGATCCTGATCTATCCCTTCTACCTCTACAACACATAATGATTGGTGCCTGCTCTAAGGTACTCAATCATCACTTCCTCACCATCATTATTACTTACTACTACTACTGATGTTGTTGTTACTGATCAGGTTACGGATATTGGTATTGCAGCATTGGCATCGAAGAGTCCAGACTTGGTATCATTTAGCTCTAAATGGTGTGCTCAGTTGGGAGATGAATCTGTGATAGCTTTATCTCAATACTGTCCAAATTTGAAACGTTTGGATTTGGGTAACTCCAAAGTGACAGAGAAAGGCTTATTGAGGCTACCTGCAGGATTAGAGGCTCTTAGTCTCGAATGGTGTTTGCATATTGATAAGGATTGTATACTAAAGTTGCACTATTTGAATAACCTCAAGGAGTTGAATATATCCAATTGCTTATGTTTTGGTAAACCCCAAAACGTGGTTACCAGTAAGGAAGTATGCCAAGTCCTTATAGCCAATCCTGGAATAGAGAAACTTCAATTGGCAGGGTTGGAGGCATGTGGTACACAAGAGACTCTAGAGGTCATTCGAGATCATCTACCCATGCTCAAAGTATTAGATATTCTCCTTACTTCTAAAGAAGAAGAAGATGCTGCTGGTCTTGTTGAAGGCATGCAGACCTTAACTTCTGAGGGCTGTAGTCTTCTTACTTCACTTACTCTAGACTTGTCTAAGCTATCTGAGAAGGCAGCAACAGATATAATACTTGCAAGTCTTGGTCTACCTAACTTACCCTTATTAAGGAATATTTCAATAACTGTCCCAAGCCTAAGTCAAATAGCATTTGAGACTATCCTAGCGGATCGTTGTACTCTGGATTCAATAGAGATCCGTGGACCATGTCCAGGGCTAAATGATTGTGCCCTACACAAATGGTTATGTGGGTATATGCCTAGTGATGGTAGACTACCTTTACTAGACCAAGTCCTACGTAGTGGTATCTCTATTCATGATGATCATCATCATCATGACCAACAACAAAAACAGCAACAAAGGTTCTCGGGTGGTGGCCTTCCTGGTTATTATTATAACTCTATTAGAACTCCAACGAGTGCTCATGGAACAGTAAGGAGTGAGAGTAATTGTGTTGGTCTATCTGATAGTGATGCTACAGTAGTGAGGTTCTCCGGCCAAAGGCTACTACCTAAAAAGGTCTATTTCGTCTCTTCAAGTTCGAGTGAGGCCGAGACAGCAGCACCACCGTCCAGCAGGTGTTATCATCAGAGGAATGATGCTAATACATACAAGAAGCCAGCATTCCCTTTGTTATTCGATGAACATGCTCAAGCTTTACAAAGAGTTCGGAGATTGATTATAACTGATGGGCTCAGTGGTCTCACAGATGAAGGGGTCTATATGCTATCACGTATACTTACCTATGTACAGCAGTTGGAGTTATTAGGATGCTGTGATGGTGTTTCTGAGGAGTCAGCAGAAGTCCTTAAACGACGATGTAGAGCATTAAAGACTTTACACATTACGGATTCTAATCAGCAACTTATCGTTAAAGTCGATAACTCCAAGTCTAGCAGCTTCCACTCCTCCCATACTACTACTACTGGTCCACCAACATCATCATCATCGAGGGGATCAGCAGCAGCAGCAGGTGGAGGAGGAGGGTCTAATCGTAGTAGACGAGTACACTTTGGGACGGCGGCGACGGTGGCACCAACTCTATTATGAGGGGACGTGTAGTATAATAATATTCAACGTTTCTTATCAAACTCCTTATCATAAGAAGCCTTTGGTTTACTCAGTCAATCTACTACTACTACTCAATCAACCTGTCATCGTTGCTATACTCATAGGTCTTTCATGTTAGCAAGTATGTCAGCACTTGGAGACAGCCCATTAACTACAACACCAGTGATGGGTGCTAAGCTACAAGAGTTGATAATTGAGCTCCTGGTATTACTACTACTTACTATTCACTACTATATCTTAATGAATTCCCTAGTCGGATATTGTCGGGGTCCTTAAGGGTATCCTAGGTGGTATATTTACAAGGCCTACAGTATGGTCTACTCCGGATTCTTATTGGTAAGATCATCAATATAGTCACTATAAGTCGTGTTATACTCAGTTATACGTGAGGTTGGGAGGGAATGGTGAGACGTGTTTCATCAGATGGGTGACTAGGGAGAGGATAATAGAACAACTATTCAGCTTGATATGATGCTCTCATTAGTCTCACTGTGGAGGTGAGGTTGCTTGTGGACTAGAGGACCAGTGATGCCTCTACTTCCTAGCTGTGTCTATCAAGTGTATCACTCATGACAACATGTTTACGGTGGTCTTCTTCTTCTTGTTCTCACTTATTTAGGGACATCTATGAAGCTACGACTCCCTTATTGAGTTGTTGTTGTTGTTGGATACTAGGGGCAAGACGAGGTTTAACTACTGTTCTAGGCGGCCTGTGGAAGCTGCTAGAACCATGAATGCTACTGCTGCTGCTGCTGCTGCTGCTGCTACTGCTGCTGCTGCTGCTGCTGCTACTGCTGCTACTGCTGCTCGCACGCGTGGATAATGGCTGAGGCAGCTTGTTGTTGAAGCAGTGGGCGACGTTGCCTTCTACAATTGTCGAGTCTTTGTGGCAAGGGGAGCTGACCTCATCCTGATATAGGGCTAGTTTACCTCGTTTCAATCACTTGCTACGTTGAGTACTCATCATTGGCAATGTTTGCTTTGGAGTGACATGCCCATATACACTCTCAATGGGACATTCATTGTGTGCTATTGGCGTCCATGAATCTGTAAACATGCGTTCTACCGTTGTTACATTGGACTATTTCCTTTCCAATAACCTATTCACTTTCCGATGTCCATTGTGTGTGCAAAGAAGCTATCCTAATGGGGTTCAGAAACCACAACTATTCATCACCCAACAATCAATAAATTAAGGCGACGCCTACAGCTGCTGAAGAGGGCCCCCAAGAGAGCTCTAGCCTTCATCCCATATATTCAAGTTGCAAATATATTATATTCTAAATGACTGAACCCGCCACCTCAGAACCTATAAGCCCTAAGAAACAGCGTCCCTTCATCATTGCAGTTGAATACCTTCTCGGTAGAGATTTATGTGCTGTCCTAGCTTGTTTTGCCTGCCTATTGGCTCCTGTAATAGCAGGGGTTGGTCTTGGATTCACTAGTCCAACAATAGATACTATGAGTAATAGTGTAATATCGCCCAAGACTGGTCAACGTATTCCAATAGGGTCTAATTCCAATCTTTATGTATTCCACTCTTCTGCTATCTCCAGTTTCTTCAGTGCTGTTTTTACCCTTGGTGCGTTGGTAGGGGCATTAGCTGGTGGGCCAATAGCAGAGCCATTTGGTCGTCGCTATGCACTAATGGTATCATCCCCTATTAGTGCATTGTCCTACTTAGTCATAGCATTAGCCAATAATGCGGCTCTCCTCGTGGTCTTTCGTTTTATTGCTGGCTTTGGTATGGGTATTGGCTCCTTCGTTACAGGTGTTTATATTAGTGAAATTGCCCCGACGCATCTTCGTGGTGTTCTGGGTGCAGCTAATCAACTGTGCTATTCCTTTGGTGCTTTGTTCGTTTATGGTATTGCACTTTGCACTTTAACTAGTGCTGGTTCATCTCATCCTGCAGCAACATCTGGTACATTCTGTGACTGGAGAACATTGTCTTACTACTGTATGATACCTAGCGGCTTACTCTTTTTCACTATGTTTCTGTCGCCTGAGACACCACGATGGTTGGCCACACGCGGTAGACTCGACGAAGCGAAGAGGTCTCTGGTACTAATCCGGGGTTTACCGATCACAGATTGCCAATTGGATGCTGAGGTCGGAGTTCTCAATGAACTTGCGGCAGCTAATGGTAGTGGGGAGAAGGGTATGTTGTTCAAGGATAGACTTAGACTACTGCTATGCGAGAATACGCGTCAGTGTATCATTGCATGCGATATACACTCGTTCACTCAGTTCATTGGTCTTAATGCCCTCGCGTTCTATCAGACTAGTTTCTTTCAACTCGCCGGACTTGACAACGCTAATGTGATGGCTCTCACGGTACAGCTCGTAACAGCAGTGTCCAATCTCGCAGCTTGCTTTTTGGTGGATCGTCTCGGCCGGAGACCGCTTATCTTATGGAGCAGTCTTGGTATGGCTGTAGGCCAGTTCCTCTTGGGGTTATTCTTCTATTTGGACCGTGACGGCACAGCTGGGGACCTAGCATGGTTGCCTGTATTAGCCTGCTATATTGTCCAAGTAGCAGTGGCTACGGGCGTGGGCCCGATACGATGGATGCTCTCTGCTGAGCTCTTTCCCGATGAGATTCGCGGTATGGCATCTAGCATGGCAACGACAGCCAACTGGTTGTCTGCTTTCATCGTAATTGAGCTGCTAACCCCCGCGGTAGATGGCACGTCCTTACAGACTGTTTTCTGGTTCTTCGCGGCTGTTGGAGTGGCTCTTGCGACATTCGTATGGTTCTTGATACCAGAAACAAAGGGAAAGAGCTTGGAGGAAATACAAAAGATATTTCATCGTTCTAATAATGAATAATATCTATAGTTAACCTGTCCCTTACCTGTCCTTTACTTGTCCTTTACCTGTCCTTTATCTACCGTTTAGTCATCGTCATCACTACTACCACCATTCTAAGTATCTACGTGTCTTATCGTATTGGTTTCGTATTATCCGAATGCTCTTGTTGATTTAGTACAACTTACCTGTGGGAGTACTATCTTAGATTCCTCTATCTGGGGCCGCTATGCCATATGTCCAAGGTGGAGTAATTCCAATATACATGGGAATCAATCTCGCTGTCAATGAGACCTATTGTGCCCTTGGGTCAGATATGATAATGCTGCTGGAGTGGTGGTCTCCTTCATACCTCTCCTCTTCGAAGTAGGGTGTACTTGGTGGAAGGTACTAAGTTTAATCTATACTGGGGTAGGTGTACAGGTCTCAGTCCTTCAATTATCATTATTAGAGTCGGATCATTCATGACTCTTGCTGCATGGATTCACTCGGGGATATTTCTAATCATCATCGACGTGTGTTGCGTTCACGTCTACGCTATCGCCCTCTCAACTGCAGTTGAATGACTGTTGTGTCTCCATCCCATGGATCGGATGTTTGCGCCATTCTGAGTGTGTCGGCGTGCCTCCTTGCTCCCATGTCGATGGGTATAGGGATAGGGTTTACTGGTCCGACCATTGATACCATGCGTAACACAGTAGAGGATACGAGCGGTGGAGGGATTATTGAAATCGGTCTGAATTCTGACTTATTCGTTTTTTCTTCTTCAACTACATCAAGTCTATTCAGCGCCGCCCTTGTATTCGGTGCTTTCATAGGATCTCTCCTGGGTGGACCGTTGGGGGACCTAACAGGTAGAAGGTTAGCACTAGTGATAGCATCACCTGTGAGCTCTCTATCTTATCTTGTCATAGCCTTGTCATCGATACCTGCCGTATTGATATCTTCTCGCTTCGTGGCTGGCCTCTCTTTAGGTCTAGCATCATTTGTTGCACCAGTTTATATTGGAGAGGTCTCGCCAACTCGTTATCGTGGAATGCTAGGAGCATTCTTTCAGCTACTCTTAGCGGGAGGCTTGCTATACGTCTATGGGATGGGCTTGGCTTTCCGCACCGATGCTGGCTCCGACGACCCTCGAGTCATATCCTCAACGTTCTGTCAATGGAGGTATGTTGCTTACTTATGCATGATACCCTCTATATTGCTGTTTCTTACCATGTATCTAGCACCTGCTAGTCCTCGATGGCTCGCCACTAAAGGTAGACTAGATGAGGCTAAGATGACGCTCTGCAGACTACGTGGCTTACCATCTTCGTCGAGGACTGAGGAGATACTAGCTTTGGAGCGGGTGGCAGAAGAGCAGATTGAACCTGATGGCATTGTTGAGAAGTTTACAGTCATAATGAAATGCAAAAAGCAGGCTTTGATAGCAGTTATGATACACTTCCTCACCCAGATGTCGGGTCTCAATGCTCTTGCCTTCTACCTAACATCAATCTTTATGAAGGCAGGCCTGTCGAATGCTGACTTCATGTCCCTCATAGTACAGCTGGTTACCATGCTCACTACCCTACCGGCTAGTTATCTCGTTGAGACTCTTGGTCGGAGAGTATTACTCCTGAGTAGCTGTCTGGTTATGGGCATAGCTCAGTTCCTTACTGCATGCTTCTTCTACCTTGAACGTGATAATGCTACTGCTACTTCATCATCTTCCCCCCTCGGTTGGTTGGTCATTCTGGGAGTGTATGCTTATCAGATATCCTTTGCTTGGGGTGTTGGTCCAATTAGATGGATACTGGTAGCTGAGTTGTTCCCCTGCAGAGCCCGTGGGGTTGCGGCAAGTTTGGCTGCTAGTGCTAATTGGATAAGTGCATTCATCTTCATACTCGCCTTGGATCCTCTTGTGGAGGCTACATCACTATACTTTACTTTCTGGGCCTTTGCAGTTTCGATCTGGGCACTGCTTATCTTTTTATGGTTCGTGTTGCCTGAAACCAAGGGCAAGACGTTCGAAGAAATCCAGGCATACTTCCATGAGGATCAATCATCTCTAGAACCGTATCAATAGAAATGCTCACTATCATGCGCACTATCATTACTCTAACTCGTTAGTCTATCTTTACCATCATTTGGCTCGAGTTGAACATGTATGGGCTATTCCCTCAGGGTTATTATCATATGCCTCCTCTATTATTGGCGTCATGCACCACAGTCATGGAGGTATCTGTGATGATTACGTTGCCATAACGTGTGTTACCGGTGCCTTATTAGCACCATTTATCGCTGGTATTGGACTTGGATTCACGAGTCCAACTATCGATACTATGAGGAATACAGTTATGACCCCTACTGGTCTACCAGTTGATATTGGCACTGATGATGCTGCTGCTGGTCTCTACGTCTTTAAAGACCAAGAGATCCTCATTAGTGCATTCAGTGCTGCTTTAACAGCTGGAGCCCTTCTTGGAGCTCTCATTGCAGGGCCTCTGGCAGATCAGATAGGCCGAAGATTGGCGCTCATGTTGAACTCTCCTTTGGGTGTTGTTGCATATCTCATTATTGGACTTAGCAGCGATGTTTATCTTCTTATCACAGCTAGATTTATGGCAGGTCTACCGGTAGGTATTGGTCCATCAGTGGCATCAGTTTATATTAGTGAGGTAGCTCCGACTAGATTGAGGGGGATCCTAGGAGCATGCAATGAGATGGCTTCAGTTCTAGGAATCTCTGCAGTATATGCTGCTGGTCTTATATTCAGAACAGATGGTGGTAGTTCTGATCCCTTAGCGAGTGATGATACTTTCTGTGATTGGAGACTTACGTCTTATGTATGTGTTGTCCCATGTGCTCTTCTGGCTGTTGTTATGTATTTTGCAATGGAATCACCAATATGGCTAGCCTCTAGAAAGCACATTATTGAGGCTCAGAATGTCCTTTGCAAACTGAGAGGTTGCCAATCAGCTGGTGATTATCGTATAGCATCAGAGATGTCCGAACTCACCAATACCGATCATGATACTACCCGTATTGCAGTCCGATTGAGAGAACTCTTCACTTGTCGAAAGCAGTTAATTGTCGCTATTGTTATTCAAGCCCTTACACAGTTGAGCGGTCTGGATGTCATTGCTTTCTATTTGGTGACGATTTTTCAAGATGCCCACTTGAGTTGTCCAGATCTCATGGCAGTAACCGTACAACTAGCTTCTGCATTGGCCATAGTTCCAGCATGCCTCCTTGTGGAACGTTCAGGTCGTCGTCCCCTCCTCCTGGTGAGTAGTATATGTATGTGCATCAGTCTCTCACTCATTGGAGTATCCTTCTATATTGGGGAAGAGTCTTTAGCGTGGTTATCGGTTGTTGGTGCATATGGATATAACTTGGGGTATGCATTGGGTGTTGGGCCTATCCGATGGCTCCTTGTAGCAGAGATATTCCCCAATCGTTCTAGGAGTTTAGCAGTGGGTCTGGCGACTATGGCCAGTTGGTTAACTCTATTCATAGTCATCCTTGTGGTGGATTATGCTATTGAGGCTACTTCTCGACAAGCTGTTTTCTGGTTTTTCTCTGGGGTAAGTGCAGTCATCACTGTGTTTGTCTGGTTTACAGTTCCGGAAACTAAAGGTAAGAGCTTTGAAGAGATTAAACGTGTGTTCTATCCTATGAGCACCGATATCAGTGCTATTTGAAATGAAGTCATCATGCTTACCGATCACAAGCATCATTGTTATATTTTCTTTTCTCGTCGTCATTAGACGGTTGGACATGTCCAGTAGTTTATAGTGTTCTAAAGCATGTTGAGTTAAAGGGCAAGGAGGATATTCTCCGGGGCGGGTTCACGGCTCTAGTAAAGGGTTGTTCTTCTTCTTCTTGTTGATCTTCCTCCTGCGACCAGATATATATCCTTTTCCATGTTCTCTACTGCTACTACTGTTCTACTGCCTCCTCTATCAGGAGATCCTTTCGCTGTGTTCTGTGCGTGTGCATCCATGTTAGGCCCTCTAACTGTCGGGTTAGGTTTAGGCTTCACTGGCTCCACCATAGATACGATGCGAAACTCGGTCCTGGCACCAAGTGGTGCCCATATAGATATTGGTTCGTCATCCGATCTTCACGTATTCACATCAACAACCGTCTCTAGCGTCTTCAGTGCTGCTCTTACTCTTGGTGCTCTCATCGGTACACTCTCTGGTGGTCCAGTAGCAGAAGCTACTGGTCGCCGACTTGCCTTACTCATATCGTCCCCTCTCAGTATTGGATCATATCTGGCCATTGCCCTCGGACATAGTCCTTATCTGCTTGTCGCGGCCCGATTAGTAGCTGGCTTCTCAATGGGTATCTGCTCATTCGTATCATCAGTCTACATCAGTGAGGTCTCTCCAAACAAGCTTCGTGGCTTTCTTGGTGCCTGTACACAACTAATGATGGCTGGTGGTATCACTCTAGTATATGCTATCTGCTTGGGAGCTAGGACCAGTGCTGGTTCACTTGATCCTTTGGCAACATCTTCAACCTTTTGTGACTGGCGACTAGTAGCATTCATCTGCATTATTCCTCCAAGCTTGCTCTTCTGTCTAATGTTCTTTGCGGTGGAATCTCCAAGATGGCTCGCAACTCGAGGTCGTACCGACGAAGCACGTGCTATTCTTTTGCGACTTCGGGGTTCAAACGAGGATGACAAGAGTCTGATAGCTGAATTGGATGCGCTCGAGTCGATCGTAGCATCTCGTGGTGAGAAAGATGGTATCAAGGCCAGATTGTCGGTACTGTGGTCTTGCAAAAGGCAAGCAGTAATTGCCGTAGCTCTCAATGGTCTCACACAATTCACAGGACTCAACGCTCTTGCATTCTACCAAACGACGTTCTTTCTTGAAGCTGGATTGGAGAATGCAGACGTCCTTGCCTTGACAGTACAGCTTTCCACTGTTATTGCGAATGTTGTGGCTTGCTTCTTAATGGATCGTATGGGAAGGAGGCCTCTCTTGATAAGTAGCAGTATTGGGATGTGTATAAGCCAGATTATGATAGCAACATTTTTCTATGAGGATAATGTTAATGGTCAAGAAGATCTTGCCTGGTTAATTCTGTTGGGATCGTATTGCTATCAGATTACTTATGCATGGGGTGTGGGTCCTATTCGATGGATGGTCGCTGCTGAGTTGTTCCCCGATGAAGCTCGTGGTTTGGCATCCAGTCTCGCCACCACATCCAATTGGTTCTGTGCTTTCCTCTTTATACTCTTCCTTGATACGGTCATTAATGCGACATCTCTCCAAGCAGTGTTCTACTTCTTTGCTTGTGTAGCAGCTTGTATGACAGCTTTCGAATGGTACATGGTACCAGAGACTAAGGGTAAGACTCTGGAAGAGATCCAGAATATCTTCTCATGATCTCCTGACACCGTCTCATTCATTGTAGTTGCCATATGTTGTTCAACCACCTGCTGCCATAATACCAGCTCTAGTATATATAT